TTAAATTGCACATTAAAATGTGCGTAACAATTTACAACGTAATTCCCAGTTACCATAGCAGCGAGACTCTTTCGAAGTGCCTTTTCGTATTCAACTGCATTTCCCGCACTTTATTCAGCGGCACAGAATAAATGTTTCAGACTTCAGACCTGTAGGAGGGGGGAGTCGATCACGTTTTCTCTAATGAACAGGTGAAGGATAATTTTATACAACTAAGTTGGTCTTGTGACATATTCCCTCTGATTTGTCATGTAACTCATCGTGCATCGATGCTCTGCAGGTCGCGGACGGCGTCAGAACGTGACCTGCAAAACCAATGCAAATGAGGTATCTACCAATCTGTGACCAATGTCACATTCGTAACTTCGATGGACGAAGGATGTTCAAAAAATACGCCAAATGACGTCATAAAATGAATTTTACTTACAAGTGAAATGTCTGGATCCCCTTCAAAGTAGTCTTTCTAATTCCACACACCAACATCCCAATGGTGTTTCTAGCAGTCGTATCTCAACAGTCCAGATACGTTCCTTTGTAATGCCCATCAGCTCCTTCGTCGCTTTTGCTAGAATCTCGGAATTCGTTTCAAATCCGCTTCCTTTCAAGGGGCTTTTGGGATTGGGGAATAAGAAAAAAGTCACAAGGAGACGGAGCAAGATGAGGTGATTAGGGAGGAAGGGAAGAACAGTTATACGTGAGACCAGTGACCAGTGAACACACGAAAAAAATAGCACTTCACTAAAAACTACGTAACTAATAAACGACTAAAGATATCAACAGTCGGAAAATTGCATCATAATCAGAGGATCTGAGCAAACCAAGCGACAGCGATTCCCATGGAACCAACTGAAGACGCGCAAATCAGTCAGCGCATTTTTGAACAGACTATGTATGTTCCCATTACACGCTCCCTGGCAAAAAGTAATCATCTTCGACTCCCAGTATACGGTAGCAATTCGCCACCGGAGCTCCGCGCCGGCTGGTCGGCCTAGCTCAAGCGTCTGCGCCGGCGCGCGGAGGCCAGGGCCGCGCAGCCCTGCGCAGCACGGTCTGCGCGCCCAGCCTCTGCGCTGGCGCGGCGTGCATAAAATGTTTACGGCGGCCCAACACGCGACGTTAAATCGCCATAACTCACGGTGCGGCGCCAGGATCGGCGAGGGGGAGCACCGGCCGGGGCGACGCTGGCGCCACCGGCCCTCAGCGCCGTGCCCTGCACTCTCTCTTAGATCGGGAAACTTTTTTCCGCCACATGTGATCTCGAATCTATTGAGTGATTTGAAGCAAAAAATTAACGAGCAATGTCGCGTCATAAATTGTACGACTCCTAAGCAGACTTGCGGTAAAATCGTAGGCGTTTAGGTAAAGCTTAGCGGGTTCGAATGAACACACGGGCCACTGCCACGGGCCACCGCGGGCAGTCTGGCCCCAATTGATTCATTTGAGCAGCGTTGCTTTAAAGTCTCACAACTCCGATAAAAGAAATCGAAACGATGGAATAGAAGTATATTTGATTCCCTGAATGCAGGCAGCTAAAGAATTATATTGAATTTGTGAATGATATTGAACCATGTTAAACGTCTCCAAGTTCATTAACCGAGCTAAAAATAGACTACAATCCAATATTGTGAAAATGTATATTTTCCACGCTTGGAACCAGACTAGGCCTAGGAAATTTGTCCCCATACATCACATATTTGAATAACAAATATTTAAGCCAATCTTCAGAAATGGAGTCTCTGAACTTCCGATAGTCCCGAGTTCGGTTGAAGAGCAGGACTCTTAGCTCGTTCTGTATAAAGAGAGCAGTGAAAAGGTATTATTCATTCGTCACGCTTTGTATCTCGGGAGAGTCCATAGGTAATTGACACACATCTGAACCGCAGACATTTAACGGTTGATTATTCGAAAATTACAAGTTATAATAGTGATCCCACAAAAAGTTTAGTAATAACTGCGCCATCAGATGGTGTACGTATCAGTCCAGATGCTTCAGTGTTCGATATAAACGAGTTCTAGCAGGAGCATGTGCAAAACCATGTGCACTAACGACTAGAAATTTGATCATAAAAGACATTGACTGGTATCACCCGACCATAAAACTATATCCAAAAGCGAAATTACGTAGTAACAAGAGAACTTTGTTGAAGGATAGAACAGGTTGCAAGTACCTCACATCGTTGTAAACTGTATTTTTTGCGTAAATGTTTCCTTTTCTTGAAGTAAAGAAATTCGGTGGGCGCAAAAATTGTCCTTTTCCCGTGTATCGCCAGAAACCCTCTATGAACATTAACCAATATATCTAAAAATTAAAAATTGAATAAATAAGGATGAAGCCGAATAAGAAAAAATAGTCGATAAAGAAACTAAGATTATCACCAAGTTTAGTATAATATTGTTTTCGGAAAAATGAATATTTCAATATTAAATCATCATCCATATTCCTAGTATGCCGCGTTCAAAACAAGTCTGACGACGTATTATTTCCCCTTTTCACATTTCTCCGGCAGCAGAACAATTTTTTTAAAAGAACAGCCTACACACGCACTACTTAACTACGAATAAAATCTATCCTTAATCAAAAAATGCGGCGACAGAGTTAATTGAAAATGGAGCAAACGCCTGTCCAGAGAAGCAAACATAGTACCATTGTTAGAAAGATACAGAAATGCCAGCAACAGTAGTAGAACAGGATGTAAAGGGTGTTGAATTGCAATTACCTCTGCAATGAACCAAAGTAAGTCACCAGAAAGTTGCAATATCAAGAGTCTTCCAACGAAATTGAGGCTTTGCCTTCGCGCTGACTTCGCATCAAGACAGCCATTTAGTATTGTGAAGAATGACAAAGTATCCCAGATTAATATGAATCGCAATAGACCATGACGATAAAGTACATTAATGACTGCTTTATGATAATCATGGAGCACGCCAATGGAGAAAGGTAGAAAATTCGAATCGCAGACAGCAAACATTATTGGTCACCGTTCACGAGACTCATTAATCATCTTCATGGTGGCGCACACGACAATAAGAATCATTTATGAGGCAATTCACTATTAATGGCAAGACACGCACAATTGGAACCCATTCCAAAAATTGGAATCAACCAATATTGTTCAAATCAATTAAGAATTCAATGCCGCAAATTTCTCACATGTCAAAACGAATGAACTGCAAATTAAATACAACGCATTTCATACAGAGTATCTCAGAACAAATGTTACAAACTTCTAAGGCGTATGGGGAGGGCGTCCAAGATGTGAATTTTTTTGCCTGTGAATACGTAGTGGGAAATCTGGTAGCGAGGTATAACATGTGACATTTGCATCATGCTTGGCAGGCAACTCTTCGGTTGCTGGTTTAGTATGGTTGACGTTCGGAAGCAGTTACAGATTTCGGTTATCCGAGTCACCAGTGCAGGACGAGTTGCCAACCAACAAGGAACTAAAGTCACTCGTGTATCTTGTTTGCATGAGATTTCCCACCACATGTTTACTGGCAAAAAAGGAAGCTTTGATCTCTTTGCATGTCTTTGGCGTTTGTGACATTTATTCTGAGACACATGCAGTGTATTCAAAAAGTTCGCGAACTGCCGCTCCTACAACAATACAAGTGGCGCTAACTCTGCGCTGCAAACGGAACCACATAATAATATGCGTTTGTCTGGACCACCTGAAGTTTCATTCATCAGTTTCAACTTGTCAACGTTCAGTTGTGTGAAGGTTATGTTGTGTATGCTGATATTGTGAACGAATAAACAGCGAATATCCATTGTTTGTATGGCAGTCAATAACAGTCTTGAAACTTTTTGAATACACTGTAAATTATGCAAGCCATGAAAGAAGTTTCGAATTATACTCTCGTAGATCTTATTCGACAATACTCGTGTACAAAATATTAATCTAGAATAGCTATTTTTGACAACCGAATGTCTTATGTGTGATCGCCAAATTAATTATTGTATTACATTCCAAACGATAAGTTTCTCGATGTATATGCGTGTGTTGAATATAGATAAATATGTTACTCTTGGAAGCAAAATGCCGTTCGGGCTGGGACAACTTAATATATTGATTAATAAAAATCACAAACCAAGTTGCGAACTGTTCTATATCTCTGGAATGGAAATTACCAAAATATAAAATGTCTATGTGAATAAGCTATGAATACATACGAAAGGGGGCTTAAGGTCAAAATATTTTGTGTACTAGAAAAAAAATCGAAGTCCCAAGAAATTCTAAGGTTTTTGAGTAGCAATGACGGGTCATCTGTGTGACAAATTGTTAATTTTGTGGCGCGCTCGTGCCTTGCAGAATTGACAAACTATATCAACGGATTTTTCAATGCAGCCACGAAAATTGAAGACATTATCTTCATGCAAACGAGGTTTGTGTACTCGCTCTCAAAAAACTCAGCACAATGCGTACATAAATATAGACCTTGCATTTTTCGGCCGAAGCACAAACCTGAACACGAAAATTAAGTACATGGATTCACCCACAGTTTCAATTTTTTTAAAAGAATATTGTTTGCCGATTGGCTCCCCCTTCACATTCTATTAGTTATTAACATTTATAGTTCGATATAGAGCAAATAACTGACCCGGTTTATAATTAACCACGTCCGTTAATGTTATATCAGCCTGGGTCATTCAGTACTTCTCAAAAACAACCTTCACACAAGAAAAAGTAATTTAAATAAATGATTTCGATGAAATCGAAAACTCATGCGTCTTCAACTACTAATTTGTTTCTATTGGTCTTAACGGACTGCAGACGGTTATACCTTAACAGACGCCGGCCGTTAAGAGTGGCTTTACGTTCCTCTGGTTGCGTTAAATCAATATAACACAACAGTATAGCGCACAAATTGCTACACATCTGCAAGCGAATTCTCGCCTATAAGGCACGCGCTCCCGGCAAATGCCAGCGCCGGTGACCGAACGCGTCGCGCGTCGGCGCCACGCCCTCCCCCCTCCGTCACGTGACCGCAGCAGCACTCACCCGGCGTCGGCGCGCCATCAGCAGCTGCGTGGTCTCCGTGGCCTCGCTGCGCATCACCCACACGTCTTCGGACGAGTCGAGGGTGGAGGTGGAGGACGCCTGCGACTTCATCTCGACGAGCGACGTGTCGAAGAAGCGGTGGTCGAGGTGCGGCGAGGGCAGCGGCGAGGCACGCAGCGACACCGACGCCGACACCGACACCGCGCCCACGGGCAGCGACGTCGGCCCGTCGCCCGCGCCCGCCCCCGCCAGCGACACGCCCCCGTCCACGCTGCCACCCAGGCTGGCGTGCCGGCGGTGGCGCCCTGCAACACACACACACACCACCACGCTGCATTACACGAATGTCACAGAATCACCTTCTATTAACGAGTAAAAATATTCTTAAAATATAAGAAACTTCCACTATCTTGAGGCGCTCAGGATAATTATGGCAGATCCCAATCGACCTTGCATTTTCTGTTAGAAGTATGACGGTAAACTCCTGCCCTGTACCTCTCATATGCTAAAATATCAAATGAATTGGAATATGCCAAAACCATCAAATTCCACCTTCAAAAATGTATCCGGAGTCTACGCGAATGTGAACGAAAGCAGGAAATCGAATTGATCTCGAAACGAACTTCGGTTGCGATCTGCCGTTATTATTCTGAGCGCCTTAATTGAAGAGCTTATGTTCACCAAAATTAAGCACCTCCCATTTTCTATTGTTTTCTAGTTCTACGCGTAAATATAGTCTTAATCCGCATCTCCAACATGCCGCGAAATTGGGTGTTCAAAAATTGTATTTTTACTGTTAAACGGTATCCGACCGATCTTATCTTGAATTATTAATGCGGAATGCGAAGATTTTAGTTTCCTGATTTTTTAAAAATCAATGTAAGCTCTTCAATTGCAACTCTAAAACTCTTTGGTCAAAAGTCTATGACACTGACGGCAAAGACACTGATGTTAATGCATCAACTCATTTTACTTTCACTCCTCAAAATAAACAATTAGGATGATTAGAAGAAAATTTAGCAAATCTTTTTGTAAAAATAGAATCTTCTTTTTATCAGGAAAATAATAATAATAATAATAATAATAATAATAATAATAATGATGATAATAATAATAAACCCGTAACATAGCACATTTGTAAGATTTAGACTCCTTTCCAACACTTCTGGTTTCCAACTTATCGCAAGATACTGAATCCCATGTAATACGGACATAAAAATAAAACCGTAGTGTAAAAAGCCGAAAATTCTGCATGACACACATACGACTCAAACCTCGTAATGCAGTAAAGATAAGTAAATACTTAGAAGGTACGGAGTGCTTGGAAGAGATTCTTTTCGTTCTATCATACCATTGAAATGTCAATTCCTTCCGCATTGTATCAGAGTGACATTTCCCAACTAATCGATATTACTGCTAGTCTCTCTTAAAATGTCAAATGAAGTCTAAATATGAGTATACCAAAGAAGTTGGATGTTAAACGAAAATTTACGGCATTTTAATTTTCTCCACTAGTATTTCTTTCTCTACTTTTGGTGTAGTTTATAATTCTACAAAAATTTGGGGATAATGAATAAAGCATTTGTCTTTTCCTAACGTTCCACATAATGATCAATGCATTTTTTGCACGACGGTTCAAATTAACTGGTTGGTACACATTTGTCACCACCCACCACTCTGGTTTATTGAGAACGATTACATCTCTCTGTCCCTGAAGATTTGGAACCCTTTAAGCGACTGTGTCAGAGTAATTGCATTTTTTTCTCGGAGCCACTTTAATTAAGTTTATTAGTGGGCCCAGCTTTAATCAATGTGTTGCGCAACGAGTACCAATGGAAATTGTAAAGAGAACACAGGACACTGAAGCTGGGGGATATTGCATGTCACTGATTGCATACGTGATGAAACTGGAGTACTCTGGGAGTTCATGTTAAAAAAAAATTTAATTCCTCTCATTTCCCAAACAGTAACTCAATACTCTGACATTATTGGAATTAACATGAGTGTTCAAAGGATTCGTGCGATACTTTTGCGAATTAATAAGCTAAACCTATCAAGTAGTAGATTCCACAAATACAATTATTTCCAATGAAAGTTTTTCAAAAGTAAATAGAAGGCACAAAACGTTAAATACCTTATACCAATTTTTTATGCCGATATATCAACCTACCGCAAAATTATTGTCCAGCCTGAAGTTTTGAAAACCACATAAAAAGGATCATGAAGAGTAGAAGTAATGTTCATAACAAAAATATATTTTAAAAAGTACAAATGGGATATGGATATTGAGTTTGGTCATTTGACATTACTACTACCTACTGACCAACATTTCGGCCGTGTATTTGCTTTCCTCACTTCTACAAGAAACATTAGGGCTATCTAACAACTATGCTTAAAACTATTTTCAATATAGAGGTAATATCATACAATATTTTAGCTTATAAATTATATTTTGGGAATGAGAAAGAAAGTTTCAAAACATTCTATCTCGAAGAAATAACTTTAGTTGTACTACTCACATCATATAATTTAAATGTCCATCAAGACACTGCAAATCTCTCAGATGGTTATTTCTCAAAAAAGCTTCAAAAGACCTTTACTTTCATCATTCCGCGAATGCTAGAATAAGCCATCAACGACGAGGAGAGGTTCAATTTACGGAAAGCAAATATACGAGCAAGGCTGAACATGCTATACATTTTCCCTAGGTATTTGAATATTATTTTCAAAATGAGACTAACAGGATAAAGACATACTAGATTGAAGTGGCAAGAAAACGTATTTTGTCGTTGACAAGGTTACAGCCTTGTGTGTTTACAAGGTTACGCCTACAGCATTACCTTCATGGGCGTGTATAAATTGTGTGAACCATCTCATTTAGTGGTAAGAGTAGTTATATTATAGTATTTGCAAAATAATATCAGCACCAGAAACGTAAGTCCACTGTCATGCGGTACCATGAACTTCTGGGAAACAGATCCGTATATTCGATTATAAAAAAATATTTAAGGTTTGGTGTGAAAGTCTATCAATTAAAAGGTTAATTGATATGGAATATAAGAGCCCTCTAATATTTAAAAAGAATTATTACAACTTCATATATAATCAGTTCTACAACACTACTAAAACTAATTATTCAAAAAGTATAAACTAAGAAAATGCTAGATTCCTTCATTAAAAAATACTTTAAATGGTTTATGAAGATTAATAGTGTTGTATTTATTTCTGTAGGTGATCAGCTCCTAATCAGTTTTGCTTTCCACTTCAGGACAACGTCAAAATAAATCAGGAGTGCGAAGCGTACGACCTTGGATGCTAATGATAACCTTAGCTCATCGTTCATATGCCGATCTCAGAGAAACCAGGGAAACTGGTTTTGAACAGCGAAGCCTTATCATATTTTCGAGTTTCGAAAAAAGATAACTTCTATTCATCAGTATGCAAGGTTTCTACTCTTATTCATTCAATTGGTTTGCTGATTGAGAGCGCAACAAAAAGAGAACTTTTACCGACTTTAACCTGAAGCGTGTATGCACGATTCATACAAAACATACCTATATGAGTGGGAGGGAAAAGAGAAAAACTATTCAACTCGAATAAAATGCGTATAACGCATAATGCCTGTACGCGTCAACTGAAACTACATACGTCGGGAGACCAATCAGGAGCTTAGGTCATGTTCCGGCTGGGGCAGGGTCCCACTGGTGGGAGGGAGACACGTGTATGGGGAAAATTCCCGCACGCCGACGTAGCTGGATCTCGCGAGCCAGCGGGGGATCACAGACACCACCCACGGAACAAAACACGCATCTCGCTAACTTTCGCAATTGACGTGCTGACTAATATTCACATGATGTATACATTGCATTCAGCTGATGGAATTCGTGTAAGGCTATAGAAAGAAACAAGAAAATTCGAAAGAACGGCTGCAGTAAAATTAACAATGAAACATCACTTGCCCGGTAGAGCTATTCCACACAGGACCGAGTGTGTAAATGAATTTAAAGTCGGAGATGCCATCATAATATTGATGAAATCAAACCAGTTGGACAACAGGAGAAACTGATTAACGGAGTAAGTCAAACAGAAGAAAACTTCACTAAAAGACACGTCGATAGTGCGTTCAAGAATTTACTGAGACAATAGAAATACCTGCACACAACATGCAATGCCGATATATTGTTCACATTGAACTGTCTTCTCTTCTATTATGAGGTTGAGATACTGCCAATACTCACGCAACACGCAGCTCATTGAACAACACACGTAGGCGCTGGCAGCTCCATGCACACGCCAACTACCTGCCCTGTCAATCTCAATTCCTCTAACGCCCTCGCGTACTCCCCGCTCCGGCCGCTGCGCGGTGTGAGTGAATGTGTGTACGTGTGTGTGTGTGTGTGTGTGTGTGTGTGTGTGTGTGTGTGTGTGTGTGAGGGGGAGGAGGGGCGAGGACCGAAGCCAGACACCCGGAACCACGGCGGGCGGCGCCCCGGCGGGCCCGTGGGCGCGGCTGGTCGGGCCGGCCCAGCCCGGCCACGAACCCGAAGCCTCAATTAAAATCGAGCTTTCTAGTCGCGCTCCCGCCGCTCCCGAGCCTCCACCCGAACGAGCCGGCGAGCGAGCGAACCAACGCCTCACCGCCTGTTGCTGACCCGGCCGCCATCACCGCACGCGGAGAAACAACCCCGCACAAAACTGTTTTTTCCTTAACTTTTTACTTTAAAGCACGTATTGTATTTTACTTTAATTTTAGACATGTTGCAAAGCAAAATTACTTTTGTCCGAGAAATTAAGGTGTCAAGATCACACGAATGAAAGTGAACGGTCTGGAATCTAATGGTAGCAATAAAAATATAGTTCACAATCAAAATCAGTAGAATCTGTGCCGAACATACGTCGGATAATTTAGGGGTGTCCAACTTGCAAGGTCTAAAGGGCCATAACTAAAACCTTTAATTAGGTTGCGGGCCATATTTTCATTACTCGGGCGACCACACTTTCCTGCATTGTAGATCTCGATACATTGCCCGACGTCTTTCAAAGAGGGAAACCATGCGAACATCAATGTTAGCATGCATAACACAGGGAAACACATTGAAATAAGTTTGAATTTTTCAATTTACTAGAAACAATTCTTAAATCTAAACTTGAACCAATTTGTAGAGTAAGGCAGTGTTGACTCCGACAGGATGTTTCGCGGGCCTCATTAAATGGTACAGCGGGCCGCATGCGGCCTGCCAGTTGGACAACCCTGGGCTAAACGTTCGACGAAATGTAGAGCCTCAAAAGTTACAAGGTTTCACCA